AAGACCATATAAGGATTTGCGAAGACGGCACACCTTCCTAGACTCCCCTTGAGCAACAAAACCAGGTGGTTGCTCCATGTAAACCTCTTCTTGTAAATCACCATGAAGAAAGGCATTTTTGATGTCAAGTTGAAGAGTGGCCAGTGACAAACAGGAGCAAGAGCAAGAAATAGGCGAACTGACGCCATCTTAGCGACCAGAGAGCACGTGACGCTATATTCAAGGCCAAAGATTTGAGTAAAAACTTTTGCAACTAAGCGTGCCTTGACACGATCAACATGGCCATCGGTCCAACTTTCACAATAAACCCCCAGCGACAACCAACTATAGACTTCTCTGGAGGAACAGAAACAAGGTCCCAAGTGCAATTGGAATGAAGTGCAATCATCTCATCAAGCATCGCTTGGCGCCACACTGGATGGGAAAGTGCTTCACCTGTTGTCTTAGGAATAGAAACAAAAGAAAGACTAGAAACAAAGGTGAAATGAGGAGAAGAAAGACGGTCATAACTCAAAAAGGTATAAAGAGGATAAGGGTTACGAGTAGTACGTGTACCTTTTCTTTGAACAATGGGAAGAGCCTCTGGTGAAGGAGCCGAAGGGGAAGAATCAACAGCAGTGGGCAATGAGTCAGCCAGAGTCAAGTCGACAGGAGGCACAGTCTTACGACGCTGATAGGTGAGAAGTGGACAGTCCTCAGGTATGGAAGCAATAGGTTGCTCATCTGGAATAGAAGTACCTGTAGCTGGCAAAGACAAGTCAAGAAAAGGAACAGGAGGAACATGATCAACCTGTGACAATTGAGATGGGATAGAATTAAAGGGTTATTGATCAAGAAAAGTGACATCAGCGGAAACAAAGTAACGCTTAAGATCAGGAGAATAACAACGATAACCTTTTTGAAGACGAGAATAGCCAAGAAAAATACACTTAAAGGATTTGGATGTTAACTTGTCCTTACCAGGAGTGAGATCATGAACAAAACAGGTACAACCAAAGACACGTGGGGATAAAGGATAGAGAGGAACATCTGAAAGCAACAAGTTATAAGGAATGTCATTATTAAGCACAGATGAAGGCATACGGTTGATGAGAAAACAAGAGACAAGGACTGCATCGGCCCAGAAGCGCAGAGGAACATGCATGTGAATAAGAAGAGTTCGTGCAGTCTCAATGAGATGTCTATTTTTACGTTCAGCTACTCCATTTTGTTGTGGAGTGTGAGGACAAGTAGTTTGGTGTAAAGTACCCTGCGTGGCTAAGAAATTAGAAAAGTCAGCAGAAACATATTCCTTAGCATTATCACTACGTAAAATACGAATAGTAGCACCAAATTAAGTATGAATTTCAGCAGAAATTTTTTTATAAATAGAAAATAACTCAGAACGGTTTTTTTATTAAATAAATCCAAGTACAACGTGAAAAATCATCAATATAGGTAACAAAATACCGAAAACCTAAAACAGACACACTACGACTAGGACCCCAAATATCTGAATGGATAATTGAAAAAGAAGCATCAGCTCGTTTATTGACTCGATTGGCAAAGGAGGAGCGTATGTGCTTCCATTGCTGACATGACACACAATCTAAAGTCTGAAGACCGGATAAAAGAGGAACCATCTTCTGCAACTTTGAAAGACTAGGATGACCGAAGCGTCTGAGGATAAGTTGAGGAGATTCTGTGAGAGAACAAGCAACTGAAGGACTCGGCACAACTAGGTAGAACAGACCCCGTGACTCACGGCCCACTCCAATCGTCTTCCCCGTACCCGGATCCTGCACAGAAACAGAATGGTTTGAGAAGGTAACAATACAGTTAAGAAAATTGATCAATTTACTAACAGAGATTAAGTTATAAGGGATGCCAGGAATGTAATAGACTGATGTCAAGGTCAATGAGGAGGTTGGACAAATTTGTCCAATCCCATGAACAGGGGCTTTAGTGCCATCAGCAAGAGTAAAAGAGGGTAAATTATCAGAATATGTAAGAGATGAAAAGAGTTCCTTATTACCACAAAGGTGATCAGTAGCACCTGAGTCAAAAATCCAAGGAAAAAGTGATGCAGAATGAGATACACAAGCAATGGGATTACCAGTTTCTAAAGCAGAGGCCTGAGACTGAGGAGAGGCCTTCTTGAGAAGGGTCTAGAATGTTGCATAGTCTTCAGAGGGGAGAGAGACTGTACCAGTTGAAGCAGTATCCGATTGAGTTATATTAGCAGCATGAGAAGGTCGCAGGTGAGGATACTTTGTGTAACAACGTTCCTCATAATGACCGAGTTGCTGACAATAATGACAACGAGGTCGCTGACCACGTCCTCTTGGGCCACGTCCTCCCTGGCCTCTACCACGACCACCTCCAATGTTCCCGCGAAAGTCAGTACGGGAAACTAGAGCAGTGGAATCAACAACAGCAGATGATGCAGGAGCAGATTTCTTATTAAGATTCAGAAGACGCTTATACGTCATTGATAAATCAGGATCCCTACTAGTCAAGATAGTATCCCGGACATTATCATATTCTTCGGGGTTGACCAGAAAGTGTGGCGACCATAAAGAGACGTTCCACCTGTTTCTGATATGCAGAAGCATCAGTAGGGTAGGGCAACATATCCAAATATGCCTACATCAGAGATCGACTTTTGCCAACATATGTCTCGATCTGAGTGTCAGATGATTTGCACAGATCTATAAACTGAGACATGATGGAATAAAGCTGCTGAACATCATTAGTGTAGAGATGTTTTGCTTCCTCCCACACGTCATTGCAGGTTTGAAAATAATAGAAAATATCCAAGACAATTGGATCAATAGACTGCCAAAGGATACTCAGAAGATGGTTGTCAATCCTTTCCCAATCAGATTTTTCTTCCTTAGGAATATCAGTAGATTTAGTTGTGAGATGGTTCCCATGTCCCTGTCCAAAGAACCAAACTCGAACAGAGGTGGCCCAATTCTTGTAATTAACAGAACCCTTCAGCTTTGAAGAGGTAATGGGCCCAACATTGGTGGAGATGACATTAGGGGAACTTTTGGCAGGACGAGAGGGAGAACTGGTATCCGAGAGAGCAGGAGAAGATGTTTCCATTATAATAAATCAAAAGGATAAACAACCAAGCGAATAGAAACTAACCTGATCGCAAATCAAGAAGAGGTACGCACAAAAAGTGAGAACCACAAAGAACCAACCACAGATCTGCAAAGAGGAGGAGGAGGCGAGCTTCTCTGTCCAAGAACGACCGGAAAATTCCACCGGAACAGTGCACACACGCAGGCAGAAGGTGGCGCGTGAGCACCACGCGCAGAGAAGACTGGTGGCGCATGGAGGCGCGTGAAGGCTGCGATGGTGGTCAGACCTCCACAGAACTGGTTGCCGGGAGGAGAGAATCTTGATCGTAGGTGGTTTGGTCTGAAAACTCGCCGGAAAACGACTCCGGCGGCCGGAACATTGACGGACGGTGGTTCCGGTGGCGGTCGGAGGTGCTGACGCGTTCGAAAATCACTCAGAAGGGGCTTACAGCCCTAGATGGCTTGCCGGAAGGACGCACGGCAAAGAAAAGAGGACTCCTAGGCTTAGGTTTTAAAGCGAAAAAAATGTTTTAAGCGAAAGTGAGGGTCCCCAGAACAAAAGAGATCTGGTACCAACTTGAATATAAAATAATATGTTTTGTATTAATCTAATACAAAGAGTTACAATATAGAGAGACCCTAATGGGCTTAAGTGAGAAGTCCAAAATATTTACAGATAGGAAGTAATCTATTCAAATCTAATCATATCTAATATTTCCTATTCTAACAGTAACGCCCATCTGTGATCCAATAAAGGCCCAACTCATTGTTTTCACATATGGCACGGATTTCACTCATATAAAAAGGAGTTTCAGAACCATTAAGAGCAATTTTTTATAATTGAGAAGAGTGAATCCTACTTTGGAGAAAGAAACGCGTCTTTCATACTTTGGAGCATCAGGAGCGGGTTGAATTCAAAAACAAGCTAGGAGTTTTGAGAATTCTTCACGCCATCACACCAATGGAGTTTGGGGGATTTTCTTTACTTTCTCTTGTCTTTGATTTCGCTATACTAGGCTAGATTTTATGTAATTAAGGGTAGATGAAACCCAATTGAATTCTTATGTTTATGGATTAAATTGTCTTTGTAATTTTCCTTTTTATAATTGAATGAATTTGTCTATGTTTAATGCTTTCTATGAGTTCGTTCCTTGTAGACTGATTTAGGGGAATTGTATGACAATAGGGATGTTGGTGCATGAACCCTAATTTAATAAATTCATCATAATCCTTGTGATCTAGGGATACACATAGGATAATTATGCAATCGTGTGATTCTTGATATTAATGCATGTTTTCTTGAAGAATAGCTGGGGAACTAGGATTCTTGTAAGATCACATAGAATTAAGATAACAAGGTATTGAATCTTAATTAATTTAGAGGAATCGATTGACATTATATTAAAGACAATTACTTAATTGTTTAATCCATAACATAAGAAGAAAATTGAGGAAAATCGAAACCTTAACTATGCTTATCTTGATTGTCAAAACACTCTCTTTTAATTGCTTGTTTTTAATTCTGAATTCTTATGCTTTTAATCAATTTTAGTTTTAATTCAAAGATCTCGTAATCGTTTGTCCGAATAAAGTGCAAATAGTGAACTAGTACTTGAAATCTAATTCTCGTGGGAACGATCTCGTACTCGTGTACACTTATATTACTTTTACAACCAGTGCACTTGCCGAAGTCGCAACACAATTCTACAATGACTCTAAGCAGAGTAGAAGGGTAGGTGTGTATGACAGATCTTTACATTTAATAATAACATAAACAAACTCCATATGTGAATTTTCTCAGCAGATAGGAACAAGGTCCATTATACAAGAGACAAAATTATCTCCAAACATATTGTAGGAACATGGGAAAGCATTAGCATACAGAGTTGCAATTGGAGGCACATGAATGAATCCAGGAAATAAACAAACCTTACATGAAGAGCATAAATCATCGGAGAGGGTCGATATATGGGATAATGGAAGTGAAGCGTTTATGCAAGAGACTCTTCTAAAGCCCGTTCTCTTCCCCGAAACACGCTCCTTAAGTGCTTCGAACTCACGCTCAGCCAAGTACCTTGTATGATCCTAATAGAACTTGACAAACACGAAATACGGAATGCAATGTCTTACGTTACTTTGTAAAAAGCTCACTCTTTGATCACAATTCAAGCATACCCATTTGCGAAATAGGTGACAAAAAACGATGGGTGTAGCTAGATTTGATAATTAAGGGAAAAACATTAAAATTAAAAATTGAAGAAAAATAATAAGAAAAATTGAAGTGGAAGACTCACTTGGACACCGAAGGTATCGGGACGGAATTCGTGGAAGGAACGAACGCGGAGACACGCAGCGGCCCAAAGCTCATCCTCGTAGAAGGACTCAGCGATTGTTAACAAAGTGGTATCGATTTTTTGGGTGCAAACATTTGTAGAAACAGAGGATTGGATTTGGGTCCTGAGGTTTGAGATACTGAAAGCATAGCAATTTGATGCCAATGTTGAATTTGAAAACGCGGAGTAATGAAGCGGAGGAGAGTAACAAAGAGAAGAAACGAGTGTCATCTCTCTCTCTCTATATCTCTCTATTTTCACTAATTTGTTATCTTTACACTTGATGTGGCCTAGGCCCTCTAAAATAAAATTATTGTTAGGTACTTCTGCATCTTGTTCACGTTTCACAAAATTAATAAGCCCAATTACATGCATATTTTTTAGGGTTTTATTAATCTCATGCTAAAGGAGATAAGTTATCTCATGTCATAAAAATAAATTTGTGAGTTTTATCACCTGAAAAAAAAATTGACACAGTTATCGAATGGTGTGTAGGAGAGAAAGTTATCACATGTAAAATAAGAGTAGTTTTTCTCTATTTTTTAAAGGCTGCTTCTTGCCGCTATGGATGTAAAATTCAGCATGAAAAAACAAAACAAAACTTGGTGACTGAGGAATAATGCATGATTCATGTATGTCTTTATATGTTAGCATAATAATAGGATAAAACAAATATGTGCACGGTGTGATATTCAGAATTTGTGACCAATTATAAGCCTAAGAGAGCAATCTAATATAGGTACACTCCAACTGGTTGGAAATAAGCAGAGTTGGTTACTCCATGATAATAATGAAAGCGTTCATCTCATCGGTTACACATCGTAATTATAATGTATAGTACTATGGTTAATAATTTAATAATTACTTCTTAAATATGTATTTACGATCAAATGAATGGGATTTGAACACAACCTTTGCCTACAGTTTAAAGATTTGGAGGATGATTATAAAATCGTTCTTCAACAAGATTGGAGAAGGAAATTGCATCTGATTTATGCACAATGGTCGTCATAAAAACCGTGAATGTTTTCTAGAGCAGATGATAAGAATTGGAAATTTCTATTCCCTTTCCATTACAGCTAAATACATCCTGAAGGATCGAACATGAGGTTAATTTATATAAGAAATTCTCTATTTTTTTAAGGTGTCTGAAGTCTAGATCAAACAAGTGGTAGAGTTCCACTCTCATTTTTATGTACACGCGTGTTGGACAATTCATGTATACGAGCGATTTAAAATTTGGACCGGTCATCAATGAGATTAAGGTATTGGGTTAGTGGTTCAACCGGTTCAATCAGATTTCAAAATAATATAAAATAAATATTAAATTATGAACATTATGTACAACAAATAAAATTGGTCTAGTGATAAGTCTTCCTATCCTCAAACAAGACGGCTCAAATCATTAAAAAAAATAGCATGATTTGTGGAGGTTATTTACTGAAGGTCAATAAAACCCCAGATAATATATAAATTCTAATGTTTTTAGTGAATGCCACCTTGCAAAATTCTTTTTTTTTTTTTGTTAATTTATATAAAGTGGCAGGTTTTGACGCTAGGATTTATATAATTTTTTTAAGGGTTTGTTTTTTCTGATGTTACTTTAGATAACTTTATCTAATGTTCATCAAAACGACATCGTTTTGGGACGGAAATCATGTAATTTTAATTTATTTCAGGGTTATAATAGTCTTTATCACTTTAATTTTTTAATTTTTCAACTCCAAAACGACGTCGTTTCGATGAACATTAGATAAAGTTATCTAAAGTAACATCGGAAACTTTTTTCCTTTTTTTTAAATTTTTGAATATTTTTTAGTTGTTATTTGATGACCGCTACAATATATGTATATTTTAAAAAATTTATTTATTTTTTTATCAAACCCTAACACTAACGCCTTCTTCTTCTTATTTTATTCTTGAGTGTATTTCTTCATCAGATTAACACAATATAAAATCCATCATTGCAAGGCAAAGATAACCCTAACACCAGTAGCGGCAGTTGCGAACCCAGAAATTTTTTCTGTGGGGGGCTAAAAATTAAACACTTGTTTCTCTCTACAAACATAATATATGAGAGGCCAAAATATGAAAAATTAAATATTTGTTCCTCTCTTCAACCACAATATGTGGGAGGCTGAAACATCAATCCAGAGAACATAAATCATAAATGCCTCTTTTAACTTGTTACAGAGAGAAAGAAGGAGACAGAGAGAGAGAAAGAGGTGGAAGATGTCACAGTAAAATCTACTATCAATTTGAAAAAAACTACACATTTTCAACCCCTAAAATGAACATTTTTTATGCAAAGAAAACAAAGAAAAAGAGAAGAGAGCAAAGGTTTAGATTTCACAAAAATATGTACTAATTACTATAATCTAAATAGATAATTCAAAGCAGACCCCTTTCATTTCTTAACATCTTTTTCTATTTACTCATTGTTATCCCAACAAGAAAAAAAAAGACAAAGATAAAGCAGAAGAGACAGATTGCCAAAAAGCACGATCACCAAAACCCTTCTGCCCTTACTTCCCTCTTTGTCACGAATCATCAGAAAAGGAGAGGGATCGAAAGAATAAGGTTCATTCTTTCATAAGACTCTCAGACTTCTTATTTTTATTCATGGATGGGAAGATTTGTGCTAACATCTAAGCATAATAAAAGTTAAAATTGTAAGTTTCAAGTCGAGGTTTAAACTATAATTTAAGGGGAAAGTTATATCTACAAACTTTCTGTTTAGAAACTCTTACAAACTATATTGTGTCTGACCGTCATACTTTAATGAGTGTATGACTGGTCATACTTAGTGTAATTCGTAAAAAAAAAATTATAAACAGGTCTTTCCCCATAATTTAATGCCAATTTCATATGCTAATTGTTACCATCAGGTCTGTGCCAACAAACAAGAGCCACGTAGCTAAAAGAATTTGAGCTAAGAAAAACCATGTAGCTCTATTGGTGGTCACTGATACTCCCAACACTGTGATGTAATCTTAAATAAACTTATTTTTTTGTTAAAGCAAAAAAAGACAAGAAAACATTAAATTCTGGATTTGATAATCGTGACTTTCTTTTCTCTATCTCTTAACTCTCTCTAAAACCCCCCAAACTAAATCCTGAGCTTACTTTTCAATTCGACAAGATCTAATCATGGTACTGCACTCTTTCTCATTCTCTTTTTGTTTTGTTCATTTCTTTAACTTTCTTGGAGGGAGAAAAAATGCAATCAGAGTTAGAGGAGTTTAAATAAATATAGGACCTGAGAATATAAAGAAGCTCTATAAAATCTCTGCGGTGGGAGAAAACTACTTCACATTAATGGAGAGAAAAAATGGAAATTTCTTGCATTATACTTGTGTTAATTTTTTTTTTTAAATTTTGAGGGGGGCGGCCGCCTACCCTAGTACCCCCCCTAGGCCCGCCCCTGAGTAGCGGACCTAGAAAATTTTACTTATGTGTGCATATTTAGTCCGAATATTTAGTGGAAGGAATTTGGGGGCAGTGCTTCTAAGAAAAAAAATTAAACAAAGCTTTAAATGCAATGAAAAATAAAAGAATATAAAAAAAATTATATCCCTTATGTTACATGAACTAAATTTTTTGTCATGTTAAGAAAAAGACAAGACAAATTCATTGAATAATATATCATCTCACTTTCTTTAATATTATATAACTTGACAAAAAATTTCATTCATATAATATGAGGGATATAATCCTCAAACAACAAGAGAAAAGAAAACTTGAACTTAACATAAAAAAATAGTAATCAACTTAATGATATAAAACCACTAAAACATAAGCAGTAAATAAAATGTGTTTCTTTCTTAATATCTGTGCTTTATTTCTGGTAATACAGCCACTAAAATTGCTTCTTGAGTGACACTCATAATTAATTAAAAAATATATCTCTTCTTTACTAAAAAAAATATATGACCAAATTTATGTGTGCACTTGCCAGTACCTAACACTAATGCCTTCTTCTTCTTCTTCTTCTTCTTACACGCTTTCATTTTTATCTTTGTCACTTGACATTTTTATCTTTTACCGGGAACTAACAACATAATTGCTCTTCTTCTTCGTGCTCTCATTTCAAGCATTGTGGTGAGTTTTATAGGAGCTTTCAAATACTTGAAAAATGTATATATTTTACACAATTTAATATAAAACTGGTTCAACGCTGGTTGAACCCGATTTTTCACAATTAACCTAAGAATGAAAGAATTTACAGATGGGATACTCTTTAGATATTCACAAATGGAATTAGATCCTTTCATGTTAAAATAAATATAACATAGAGATCATAATCATTGGTGATAAAAGAAAAGACAAAAAAAATATTGAAATAAATTTTTTCAAAATTATCCTCATTGATTCATCATTATATAGTTATAATTTTTTCACGATCACCATATCATGTTCTTCACAAACACTCATAAACACCAATGGGGATGCTTATCATTGTTCCCAAAGTAATATCGGCAACATATATAAAGCAATATAATGATAGATAAGAGACTTGCACACTTTGCAAGTGACAGAAATTTTAAGGGGAAATTTTTCAATTTATATATAATTTATGTATGCAAATATTATAATTTATGTAAATTAAAAAAATGAATTTCATGCTATAGGAGAAAAAACCTAACTACAATTCCCATACCAATGAGCAAGTAGTCAAAGACGTCCCTTGCTAACATAGCCAATAGTGTGATCGTTTACTTCAATGCAGAGATAGAGAGATCCATCCTCCACAGTCCACACCGCACCTACACTTTCCTTGTATCCCTGTTCAGTGTTCTACACCCCATCATCGATCAATTTGCCATTGCCTAGAGCCAGCTAGTGAGGACAAAACTGAATCGATACCTTCCCTTATTTTGACATAATAAATGAAACAGTTGAACACCCAGCTGTTTTCCAAGAAATACTTTAAATTGGATTCAGTCCCCTACACGCACGCAGCTAGCTTAAACACAAAAACTGATAAGATAGTAAGATACCCTTTTGCTTGCATGATTTGGATAAAAAATAAAAAGATAGAAAGCATTTATTTGTAAGATGGTAATAGCAAAGAGTCTCAAAACAAAAGGGTCGAGGTTGGCACATGCGTGCAGTACGGATATAGTAGGCATGCTGCATCAATTGTAAGGAACATGTCACCAATCTTGCATGTTCATATCTTTGTCTTACGTAGGCGGCTGCAACCATTGGCATTGAGGATGAAAGTTGAAAGAGAAAGGACTCTGAGAGTGACTTCAAGAGACTGATGGATTGACCATGTGTTGTCCCATCACTGGCTACGATGTGAATTGTGATGATTATCTAAAGATTTTTAAAAGGCTGAAACAATATGTAAGATCCCTATATATCCCTTCTTCAATTGCCCCACTCCCCCTTTTGCCATTTTGATTCACACCTTCCACTGTCCTCATATATTAATGATAAGTTAAGTAATATTTATAAATTTTTTATTTATAAATTATATTATATATTATAGATATTATATATTCAAGTATTAGATATTATTCGTAATATGTAATATAATTTATAAATAAAAAATTTATAAATATAACATGTTCATTAATCATATATGGTATTCCATAGTAATGTAGTATTTTCCTTTATGTCTACATTTAAAAACCACACATCCTTAAATTGGTACCTGGAAAACCGTATCTCTTCCACGGCTACACACCCTAACTGGCATGAAACTGATTGGTGGCATTGGATGGGAAAGAACCAAGTTAGAAAGCTGAAAATAGCAATTCAAAATCAACTAGAAAAGAAGAGAAAACCCAGTGTGGGTTATAAAGTAACCAGCTTTACGTGCAAAACTGTGTAATGTTTTCTCCTCAACCCAATTACCCACGCATCCCTGCCTGTTTGAAAATATTTTAAGGGGGTGTTTGGTAGAGAAGAAATTTTTATTTATCCGGAAATTACGATTTTCAGAAATATGATGGGAATATGAGTTTTATGGGAATGTTACCAAAAAGTTGTTTGGTGGACTAAAATATTTCCGAAAATATTGAGTTAATTTTCTTGATACATGTTTAGTTGTATTAAATTTTCCCTTGCCGTAGAAATCCTAGAATATCACCCCCTGAATTTTCTTTACACACAAAATAAAATTCCGAAAAAATTAGATTCTCGAAAAAAGTTTAAAAATTTTGTACCAAATATGAATAAATATGATTAACACTTTCAGTTTCTCGAAAATCCCAAAAAAAAATGTCGTACCAAACATCTGCTAAGTGGCTAAGTGTTATCCGAGTACCAAACACTCAATGTATCTTTTATCACATATAAAAAAAAAAGTTAACATATTTATGATTATTTTCCTTTTAATCCCTTTTTTTTTTTTCCTTCTATTTTAGCAAGGCGAGTAAGGAGAGTAGGTACTTCCGTAATACACAAAATGTGCTCCTCTCTATTGCAAGTCCAACCAACGTTGGGTTTTATCATTGCATGACCTGTTGACCTGTTCTCAGTTTCGTGCTTAAAAAGCTTATGCCAAGAAATGCAATGCGATTTCAATTAATGTATATTATTTATGTTGATGCAGTGCTCTGGTTGAAAATTCTATGTTGATGCAGTGAGTTTGTCATAATCTCCAACAAGAAAGGAAAAGCTTTGGAACTGGTTTACATATATATATATTCCCTATTCGTCTATATTTCTTTTAATTAATATTAGTTCAAAATAAGTATATACACATAAAATAATACATATTTCGTATGCATCATGTTCTTTTAAATAATATCAGTTATAACATTAGTCAAAGGGACCAAACTTGGATGAGAAAGGAAAATGAGAGGGAAAAAAAAGAAAAAGAAAAAGAAAAAGAAAATTAATTGATAGGATGAAGAGGATGTCTTGTTTTTACATATTTTCTCTTGTCTTGTAATAGTTTCATCAAAGTTGGCACCGTGCCGTATATATGTTTGATATTTACTTTTAACGTTGTGATAGAATTCATTGCAGGCAGAGGGAGGCCCTATTGTGTTTTAACTCGTTTCCCTTTCTTGGAAATTTGAGTACGAAATCCCATGCTTTCATTCATATATATGCTTTTGAATTTACGTGACTGAGGAGGTAAAAGATTAGAGGACAGAAGAGAAAGCCAGAGGAAAATGGTTAAGTCACGTTGCTTGTCACACTGCACTGTACTTTATCCTTTCTTCTCTCAAATCAGTCGCCATTTATCTGATTTATAATCAAAGACTTCTCGCTGGAAAGAACAGAAAGACAGAGACAGCTAGAACAAGAAAAAAAATTAAAAGAAAAAGGATTTTTACATAGATATTAATGTTTATCGTAAAAAATAAGTATATGAAGATCAAGTGAAAAAAAAAACGAGAAAAAAAATAAATATGAATCTTATATAGGTTTTATAAGAGTTATGATGTAGAAAAAGTGATTCTGTAATGTTATAGAGATTCGTTTTGGGTGCCGTAGTTTTTTTTTTTTCTTCAAAAAATATGGGTCTCACAAAATGTTATGTGTGTAAAAAATTTTGTTATGTCATGTTAAATGACAAATACAAACCTCATCTTATATATTTTTATATATTTATACAAGATAAATTTATCTCCTATAACGTTAAAGCGTTATACATATCCCATTAATTCATAGTTTTTGGGTCCACCAACCTATTCCTTTTTTCTTCATACTTCAGTGAAACAACAGCATTTTTGGAATGTCAGTAGTCTCTTATTTTCATTTATTTCCCTTTCTCTTTTCACTATATAAACTCCATCTATCAACTCTGCATGCATCTCCACTTGCCCATTTATATCATATCATAGCACGCCTACAACATCACGCGTGTTCTTTACAATTCAGTTCGTTCAAACTTGTCACTTCTTTCTCAATATGCTTTTGGTACTAACTGCTCCAGAATCTCTCTCAAATGGCATCAGGCATCTCCAACTATCATCTGGGCCGAGTGCAACAAATTTCCTTCGCTTTCACTACAGCAAATGGAGAATGAAGCACGCGATAGGGTTTTCATGGCGCTATCCTAACTGAGCTTTTTATTTTTTCTTTTCTTATTTTAGTGTTTTATTTTATTTTTTTCTTGACCTTGCAGGACTTTTTAGCTTTTTTCCATTTATTATTATAAGTTTCTACTTCTTTCTTATCTAAATTTTCTATCTTCATCACGTCAGCCACTCCCGTTTAAATATTTTTTACCTATTCCTCCTGAGCTTTAATGGAAACGTTGTTATTATTTTATGTGTGTTAATACAGACAAATCTCTATCTCTTATGAGTCTCATCTATTGTGTTAATTTAATGTTTGAGCAAAATTTGTACCATCTCTTTCGCTTGCTATATATCTTTCTATTAGTTCAATTCAAGATGATGTTGTATAAGTTAAATGCTTATTACAAATCAGGCAAATCGTATCCTGATTTATAAGTTGTGTAACATAAAAGGAAAAGATTCTTCTATAGTCAGTTTCTGTGGTAAATTGAGGAGTTCAATATTCTTTGCATAGCAAGTTTTTGCATAATAATATAATGAAGAACAAAGAAAAGTAGTAGCATATAGTATGGCAAACTGGATACATCTTCAGCATCTTTTTTTCCTTTTGCTTAGCTCCATGTTGTTTAGGTTGCAATCTCTGTAAGCTGCACGTGGGATTGTGGGTCCAGATGCTCATGGTCTTACATTTCAGCTGGCACAGATTTATTATTTTCCTGAAAACTGAATTTAAGGCATCGATGTTGTTTAGGTTATGACCTCAACCAAATTTAATGAACTCGTGACGTGTGCCTAACATCATCCGTGGCTTTCTCCATGTGCATAGAATATTCCACCCAAATTTCAAATAATATCTACGCTGTGAAAGGTTATCATAAACCACCGGATTTTCCTCAGTCTTTTAAATTTTCAGTCCGTTTGATGATGACCTTGAACTATATGCACGGAACATGAACCTTGTAGAAATTGTATCGTGAAACTTGCTCCCAAAAAACAAATGCTTGTCCCAGCTGTTCAATTGGGGTGGTGGTATTTACAAGGTTAATGTGTCAAACGTGGATGAAATTTTGGAATGATGAATATAACGTTGGATATACTGCTTATATTGGTGTGATAAATGGAAAAGCATAGATACCAAAAAGAAATCAGCATCCACTGCCTGTGGGAACAGATTGATTGAGGGAACAAAACCATGACTTCCTTCTTTCTGTTTGAGAAGATGCTCGCCTAAAACCAGAACCAGAACATCTTGCCAAATGGTTTCTCAAGTTCCTGCTAGCATTGCAAGGAACTAAGGAAGGTGCAACGTCTGCTCCCAAGCAAATGCTGGGGTTGATTTTGAATGAGGAGAATCTCTGGCAGCTCAGGGAGCGGAATGATCTTGAAGGGGAAGAAGTTTTGGATCCCCGGGAAGTTGGTTTGCAAAATGGGGTGGTCATATCAGTGGAATCTCCTAACACCTCACTAGAACACGTGCAAAATGTTAGGGACAAATTTGTTGTCCTTTGCATTTCCTTGGGTAGTGGCCTTGTATCTGGAAGCTTCACAAATGAGACTATGCCGTGCCGGCAGAGAGGACAAGCAATTGAACCTGGGGGGCCATGAGTGGTCGTTGAGGTTGAGTTTGTAGAACAAAGATACAAGGCACACTGTGTGCAGAACTCGTGATCACAACCTGCATCATCATAATTGGAGGCCATTAGTAAAATATACGATATGAAACAAAAAGATTTCAGCCAGGAAGAATAAATATATGAACATGTACAGATAATATCATGGATAAAGAAACAACAGATATAAAAAAAAAAAGTACATGGGAAAGGGAACACACAGATTCCTTTACCATTGATTCAAAACTTGACTCATTAGTCGTTGCAAACATAAAAGCATAGTTATGTTGTTTCCCCCCCTTTACTTTAGTGTGAGAATGTGTTTGTAGCGATACTTTATAATTATTTACTCTTATTTGACTGATACATACACTACCATAGACGGAAAAATGAAGGGTCTTGAACTTGATCATCTTGTTGGTAGACCTTAACTATGTCTTCATTGAAAAAAATGGCCCCACTTGTAACAACCTCGTAATCGCCTAAGAGTCATGGTTTAGATCTAAGTTTCTAATTTCTACAGTAGCACACTGGATTGTCCCATGGAAACAGTGGTATTGCATTCATGAATGAATGAGTACACAATGGCAACCCATACTATGGGAATAGAAGTGCACTCATTATCTATCATTTCTGACGAACTATGGCTACTTAAAAAATCCATGAACAATATCCAAGCCTGACCAGTCACTTTATATTTGTAAGCATGCCTATCAAAATGAAAAGACTAGTTATTGTAAATAGAACATTTTGGGAATATCGCCTTTTCATCTCTGGTAATTACATCATGTTTCCTTAGCCATTAATAGTGTACTTGTTCCATAGCAAAAAAATATAAACATTTTTTAAACCTTTGGTTCAAAAAGGCTAAAATCATTTTCCATATTAAAGCGTCTAATCACATACCATGAATCCAGCTTTTATAATACTAATCAATAAAGTATATGTTTATTTGTGAATTTAAGAGGCGTGTATACCTTCGACAGCGACCATACATTTCCTTTCCAAACAAACAGCACATGGATCTAAGCATGTTGGTGCTAATTCACTCGTCCTCCATCCACATTCCCTGTTGAGGATGATGAACACAACAGAAACAAAAAGCGGGTAGGAGCAAAATTAGTAACCCTTGGAATTGGAATACCCCAAATTTGAGGTACAGTCAACTGGCTTAATCGAATCAAATATGGAAAAAGTTTTATTTTAATTTACTCAGCATTGTCAAGATGTAGTATTTGCTACGGAAAAATCTGTATCCAAATATTAGTAGTGTGTCTGCTTTTACTGAATGAACAACTTGATAATCACACAGAGCTGATTAATGGTACGAAAAATTTCAGGGCAGATTGTTTGTTAGAGCACTTGAGATTAATTTGGTACAATATATGCCTACTTGTTGCAAACTATAAATAAGAAGATCAAAACACTTCTACAAATCCAACCGGTTAGCCAATCCCAGTGATGTCAATGATGCTGGATATCAAAATGAAAATAATAAATCTAAAAAAGACAAGACTTAACTCATCTAGTTAGAACATAATCACATAACAAACAATCAATGACAAATGAATTTGAGTAAATTTTCCGAGTATCATTGAATTTAATCAGTAAAAATCTAAAATTCCATCAATAACAGCTGAATGATCAGGATTGTCACCTCGCTCAAAGAATAATCAGTTAAAACCACCTGTTAGTTGACTTGAAATCAGAGCAGACTCCACAAATTCATGGAAAGAATTGTGCTTATTAAAATCAATTCAAGCTAATGTCTAGGAAAACATAAATTTTTAGTTGGTTCTCCCGAGGAGGAACAAAGCAGACAGCTCCCAATATCAAACTTCAGGACTATTAACTGATAGGAAGAAATTGGTCAAATTGGTAAGAGATTAGCTTCGACAAACACATACCTAGCAATTCTGACAATGCTCATAAGAGGAAGACATATATATGGTGAAGGAAGAACTTGTAAGTGGTCTGCTTGAGGTGTTTTTAAGATGTCCTCGAGCCAGTTTCTATGCCACGAACGAGCCACCATCAAGGGGGTCCATCTTCAAAGCAAAAATCATAGAAACAATTCACCAAAAAGTTCGAAACCCATAAAAGACAAACAAGTGCTTGAGACAATATAAAACTCAGGTTGCTTCATTCAGATGCAACAAAGCATTATAGGAACTATAATTATGACAGGTTCAATTGTTTTTTATTACAATGAGATAGCACAGATCAAAGGATTCTTGAATTGAACGCAGTCTAAAAACACTGCTATCCTCCATGCAATTTGTACTAAAAAAGGAACAGGCACTTGCAACTAAACACAATCACAATATAAGGATGATGATTGCATTTTAGACTTCAAGGTGATATGCAATGCAATTTACTATCATACACAAGACAGAAAAGGGATCTGAGGCTAAACTTTAAAACATAAGTTCACAAAAAAACCATATCAAAACCCAGGAACATGGATACTCTGAATCCAGAACATCAATAATAAATTAAACTTAAGTTTCTGGTCAAAAGCCAAGTGAGCTAGATTTAAGCTTCTAAAAGTTAACAATTTTATAGCACGTTACTTAGAAGACAAGGGAATAGGGAGTTGTTCGGCTCCTCTAGAAGAGTATTAAATTTCCTATCAACTATATAGACCAAAATATTTACATGTCTACCATGGCAGGCAGTAAATAGGATAAATTCATCACACATCAGAAGTAACAGAGATATGTTGATACATACCCATTTGCATTCTCAGCAGTCAGAATGGCACCCTTCGCAATCAAAAGCTGAACCAAACAAATAATACACGAAATTAAAAAAGGAAAGGGACTTCAATACGAAGACCAGCAATGTAACCAATTTTAACTTTGCATGTTCATTAGGAAGAATAATATTTTCATTTGCAAAAGTATATTTTTCTTCTAAAGCAAAATAGAAACATACTTGACAGCATTGTGCATTTCCACCACATGCAGCATAATGGAGGGGAGTGCTCCCAGAACCTGCAAGCAGGATAGACAGCAGTTACTAGAGGTGAAATTAATGAAATTAGCCCAAACTTACGGAATGCTATACGTTTAAATTTTCTTAATAACTAATGAACTATGTTAGTGTTTAAATTTACTCTGCACAAGAGGTGATCTTTAAAAATGAAGACTTAATGGACAAATACAAATTGCATGTTCTCTTATATAATAGAAGGAAGGAACATCTAGCACAAATCTCTCTCCATCTGGTTTAATTTGATAAATGTATACTTGAAATTGACTCACAGCCAAACTTGTGAGGTGTAAAAAGAGATCAAAGAGGGAGAAACCCACTCAGAAACCAAGGCTATTCTTAGTATATAAGGAAGAAAATAGTGTGGGGTAGAAAACGGAGTGAGATAGAAAGGTTTTGATTTTTACTCCATGTGCATAGTCCTTCCTTCTGGGTAGAGAGCGGAAAGTGGGTCAAAAATCATTTTCAGCTCAGTTTCATGCTATAGGAGGAGTCAACAATTGTGGAATTAGAATTTTAATGAGTTGCAGTTCACTTTTTCAACCACTTTAAATTTTTGTTGTACAAAGCAATTGCAAAATATTTTTCATTCTAAAATTTTCACCAGCTCATTTTCAGTTCAACCAAGTGCATTCTAAAATTCTTCCAGAAACCAGAAACAGAATGTTAAACAATAGTGATGAGAAATGACCAGGCTGTGTAGGTTTGATAACAAATATGCAAATTAAAAAATAAAAAAGAGGGTGGCACGAGTATGGAAACAATCAGCAGATTGGAAGTAACGTTAATCTACTTATATATAAATGCTACTTTCCATAGCAAATATTTGCACATCATTGTATCACATGAACTAGAAAATGCCAAACAATTACCAATTAAATCAATGGTAGTTCCATCCTCCACAGTAACCTCAGACACGGAAGCTCCCAAGTCTAAGAGTAACTGCACACTTTCAACATGTCCATTCAATGCTGCCATATGCAGAGCAGTAATGCCTCCATCAGCAGTTCTGTTAATTACCTCACAAAGACCACTTTGTGTGCAACCATTTAAAGAAAAAAAATCAAAAATTAACTCAATGCAACAGGTTTATGAAAGATGACTGCAAGAGGAGTTTTGGTGAGAGTACCTTTGATCAAATTCCAAGATTGATTCATGATCATCTGTCTGTAATACATTCCAAAAGTTAGGGATGCTAGGTATATAGTCTGCCAGGAGAAGCCGAATGCACCTGGTATGGCCATTCAAAGCAGCCAAGTGGAGCGCCGTACCTCCATTTAAGTAATCTGCTTTATGAATCTGCAACCATTTTAATAGCCAATGTTTTACAACTCATTTTACCCAATAATTTATATGATTGTTAATAAAATATTCCAAATTTGTTGGCAGTAACGACCATACATTGGCATTAAAAAGAATCAGGGTCTGCACCACTTCCCAATGACCATGTTGACAAGCTTGCATCAATGCAGTCTGTTAATGGTATAAACTGTAAAGTAAGTAAAAGAAATGGTCCTTTCTATAGATGAAATACAACGCTATTCATACACAACAAAGTTTGCAGCCTTTAGCATAAAATTGACAGTTTTAGACAGTGAACAGTCAGAGTGAGTTCTAGATTGAGCTGTAATTTTTCCTGTGATGTGACAAAATAAATTTAGTCAATTGAATTTAAAGAAGAGAATATTCAAACAAAACAATATCAATTACCTGACCACGATAATTCCTGAGATTGATATCAACTCCAGACTCAAGCAAGAGACACACTATCTACATCAATGCAATTGCAAAACACGATAGATATCATGAAAAGAAATGCAAAACATGATACAATAAATGGAGAGCATTGAATTAAGTACCTCATGGTGGCCATGAGCTGCAGAGTAATGCAAAGGGGAATTGCGTACTCCAAAAGTGGAATACCTTGCAAGACGGGGGTTATATTCCAATAAAGCCTTGGCCTCTTGAACATCCCCATCTCTTGCTGCAGAAACTAAGCGCTCACCAGATGCAGAACATCCAAAAGAATTCCCCACAAGGCTTAGAAACTTCATGTCCCCCAGAAATCAACACAACAATTAACTATTCAGGAAATTGGAAGCAGGATTCTTCAAAGCCTCATAAAAGGTTTCAATTTCTCTTTAGGACAAACAACCCCGACATCAAATCACCAAACCTTAATCAATTCGAAATTCTGATATAGAGACTTTATTTGTTGGTGAGATCTTCTTCTCTGTCAAAGGTTCATTCCATGTACCAAACTAACAACAACTCAATCAAAGTTTCTCAAACACACGAAAGAATTGGTTGCAACGGTCAAAGACCACTATCCTCACATGATTCATGAGAGAGACACAGAAAGAGAGAGAGAGAGAGAGAGGGTGAGAAAGATTCCAGTAGTTTTGTCCACAAACCTTCAAGCCTTGGCAAATGGTAACCAGTGAATTGCTATTTGCTAACTCTCAAACTGCTCATTTAAATATTAAAAATCATTTCTTTTACATATTAGTTAAACACGTCGTCAATTTCGAGAAACCCCACATACAAAAAAACATTTTTTTAAAAAAAATAAATAAAAACTCTTTGTGCCCTTTGAAGAATTTCTATTCTATTCCAATTTGCCAAACGGATGTTGTGAACCTGACCTCAACTTCCAAATATTCCATTTGAAGAATGAAACAGCTTCTTCCGAATCTCCCCAATAGACAACAACAAAAACATTCAAACCATCTATCTTCGTATATACCTCAGAAAAGAATCAAAATCCCACAAACCCACCTCAAAAGTTCTCTTCATAGATAAGGAAGGATCAAAACCCAGAACAGGAATATGTCCTTCCTAGTCTCTAGGAGAAGATTAATCGCATCGAACCTCCTCCATCAACCCAAAAGATGCAAAATCATTTGCAAACGTCGAAAAATATTTTCCTTAAAATGGCAATTTGCTAAAAATAATAAGTTAAATAAAATATCCAAAAGCGAGACAGATGTTATTGGAAAAAGCAACTTTTCCGTGCAGCTTCTTGAGGTAACAACAGCCAGAGAGCCTCGAACAAAAGGCGTGTCACCATGATTGGTTATTATTAAGGAGTCAACGTTGTAGTTGTAGCTGTGTCGTTTCTCTCTTTGCGAAGGAAAAAAAAAACCTTATGTATCAAACACTCCACAAGCCACATACTTGGAACCATGACTCATCTCCTTACCTAGGGGTCAAAAATTACCATGTTTATTTTTACATGTTTCATTACATGGCTTTTTATTAATTTATTATCCATTTTGGTTTTGCATAATTGCATATATTAATATGATACAGCTGGCAAATAGAGAAAATTTGAGTTGGTTAGAAAAATATGAGAAAAAGTTCAATGCACGGAATCAATTTTGTATAACCAATTTTAGTTGGTTTTGCATAATTGCATATATTGTATGGGTAAAGTATTTTTTCAGTAATTCAAAATAAGTTATTTTCAGTGACTCAAAATTATATCAGTAATGAAGGATATTTTTATTTATTTCCTTCATTAATTTTCTTAAAATTATGGAAACACTCTTAATTAATTCAAAATGACATAATTTTGAAAATTTTTGGAAATAATTTATTTGCAGTAATACTACCTAGGGATGTTCGCGGTCTGGATTGGATCGGTTTTGGAATCAAAAATCGTCTGATCCAATCCCTTTGGTTTGATCATATAATCATTCATTCGGTTTGAAATTTTTTTCAAATCCGATCCGATCCAATCTAATTTTTTTCGGTCTGGATTGGATCGGTTTTCGGTTTTTTGAAAATCTTAAAATTTATTTTATGATTATTGTGCAAATAACATTTTTTGTATATATTAGCTTTGTAAATTTTATTTTTTTTGAAATACAAAAGCATTAGTAAACTATAATATAATTTTTTTTTTGGTAATGAGATAAGAAGTTCTACAAAGATAAAATTTTGTTGATGAGATGTGACTAGATTTTTTCTTAGATTTAGTTGATGGGTTAATGGGTCTTGGGTTTAGAAATTTTTGGGCTATGATTGTGAAAAGACCCAAGTAGGAAGAGGGAAATTAATATATTGGATCGGTTTGGATTGGATCGGTTTTCATCAACCCATCCAAAAACCGATCCAATCCAATTAAAATTTGCGGATTTTTTTTCGGTTTTTCGATTTTCGATTTATTCGGTTATCGGTTTTTCGGTTCGGTCGCCGCGGTTTGAATTGATTGATGAACACCCCTAAAACTACCTATATTGTATGGGGAAATCACTTCTGCTGTGAATGCAGAAGTGATTTTCTACTGCAACACACTCATTGGCATTTTTTCTTTATTTTATTTTTTTGAAATGGTGGGACCCACCAAGTTTTTTGGTCAGCTGCAAAGTCCCAAATTTTGCGGTAACAGAAGAGTTGCAAAGCCCATATTGTATATATAAAACTTGGTGTTTTTGAGATCGGTGGTGCCGATGTATTGAAGGAACAATGACCATTTTGTCACCTTTTAGGCAAAAATTTACTGTATTGCCATGTCAAGAATTTTTTTGCCAAAATATCATGTTACATTCTCGCTATGCCATCCAGCGAGAATGGACTTGACATGTAATAGCGTCTGCATGGCCAACCATTCTCATTGCGCAGCCTAACGAGAATGACAAGGTGTAGCAAAAGTACAGACATTATCTGTAAAAGTTGTTCAGGCATTATTTGACACGTGTCAGCACTCTGTCATTTTGGCTGAGCTGCTCAGCGAAAATAGTAGACCATACAAATGCTGTCACGTATCCGGTCAATTCTCTCTAGATGACGTAGCGAGAATGTGACGTGGTATTTTGATAAAATTTAATTGAAATGTGACATGCCGATATTTTTTAGTCACACTAGTGTGAGGATGGTCAATGTCCTTGTATTGAATTGTTCCTCGATAAATATAGGTACGAGTGGTAAGGAGTAGGACTAGGGGTGTAAATGGGCTGAACCGAGCTGGGCTTTGGCCATTCTGGCCCAAGCCTACGTCAAAAAAAAATTCGGCCTATCTGGCCTACTGGCCTATTAAAAGCTTTATTTGTAAGTCAAGTCCGGCCCATTTTCAAAAATAAGAAAGTCTGACATGGCCTACAGGCCTTGTATGCCTCCCACTATATATACTAAGCAAAAAAAATAATTGTATAGAGAAAAGAAAGTTTCATTCATGCATGCACTAGTACTTCTCATATGAAAAAAATGACAAACAAGAAAGAGTCAACATAATACCTCAGCTCTAGAATGTATATCATAGAGGAATAGAGTCAAAGAAATGGGAAAAATAAGAAAAATACAATTACTGGATGCTGAAATAAAGTCTACAAGAGAATGTCATTCATCTAAAAATCTTTAAACCACCATCAAGACAAGGGAAAGAAGAGTATTACTGAAAGATCTTCATCAGTAACATCATAATCCAGCAAGGTACTCATTGCTCTATGGTATTAAGCTGCAACAGCATGTAAAATTTGGAGACATTAGACAAGTTTTCCTTTCATAAAATAAAATAGCACAAAAAGTAAGAGATATTTATATTTGGTACTATGTCTTTGCCACATAAAATAAATATTATTTTATTATTTTATTTTAATAAATTAAATAGGCTAGCCTACAAAGCTGTAGGTCGCGCTTGACAAAATTGGCCTATGGCCTATTTATTAAAAAAACTTTTTTATAAGCCTAAATCTACTCTACTTTTTTAAAAGGTCAAGCCTGAACTGGACTCAATGTAAGCCGGACCGTAGGCTAGGCTGAGCCAGCCTGACCCGTTACCCTTCCAAACATGCAGCTCAAACATTTTTTGAACCCTCCCCCACCAATATTTTTTTTAGGTAAGGGGTATAAAGTTGACGGCGAGAACACCCAATATTAGCATTGGCCTTGGGTAATGATAATAATGTCATGCCAATAATGATAAGTCCAAGAAACACAAAGCAAAAGGCTGTCCTCAATAAAGTGGTCGGGAGGCACCAATTTTGTGTTATGAATGATGGCTACCTCACGCTGTTATGCGTTGTCTAACCCAGTGGAGCCTAGACACTTGGAATCTTTTTCCTGTTTTATTTTCATCGACACAACATAGCAGCCCAAAAAATGATTATATCCTCTCTTCATGATCTTTATTTTTTATTTAGTTTGTGAACTCGTTCCTCTATGATTAAGGTTATTGGTTCTAATAAGAAAATTAGTCTTTTTTATAAATATATAAGGATAAGAGTGGATAGAATAATTGATATTCCCTACTTTCATTAATTGGGATTTAAAGTGGAGAAGTTGTTATTTTTAATTTCAAATAATTTAGAAGATTGTTCCATCAATCTGGTCTCTTTGGTAGTTGTCTAAATGCTTGGCTAGTTGCTCTTTTATGTATTCTGATGGTTGATTGTTGCGCAATCGACAAGTGTATCGATCATTTCAAGTAATAAAAAGATAAGTAGAGTATCGTCTTCACGAGGATTGAGGCACCGAATTTATTATAACTATTCATCTCTTGTTGGATTAATAAAAATAGTTTAAGGACAATTATGGTTTGTGAAATAATGAGAACAATTATAAAAACGTAATAAATTCAAAGGTTCTTTTAGAGCTCAAGAACAATGGAATAAAGGTTGAGAAAATAATTGAGGAAATATGGCGGTAAAGAGATGACAAGCACCTTTATGATCCCCACTTTGCAACTTGGACAATAAATGTTCTTTTATATGATTAGTTAAACCTTAATTCCTTAGTGACTTTAACCTTATTAACTCTATTAGAATCCTAATCCCTTAGAAATCTCTTTTCAAGTTAAACCTTAGAATCAATGAATCTTTAACGTTTGCTATTCATGTAGCTTATCCCTAGAGTGAGAGAATGATTGAGAATGAATAATCAGTATTTATAACATTTATGACTATTTTTCACACATTTATGTTTAATTTCTTATTTCTTTTAACTTAGAAAATACCATATGCTAGACGCATATCACTGATAGATGGTGGTTCACTTGCAACACTGACACTAAAATCTAGTATGTACAATAGGTGAAATAAATGTAAAAGGGAGAGGATTTACACATAAAATTGTGAGTTATGCATACCTAGACCGTTGAGAAGATAGTTAATACAAGTGAGGGTATGTCAATGGTGAAAACAAACAAGTAATTATATTAAAATATAAACTAGAGCTCAAACCAACAAAAAAATATATATTATAGTAATATAAAGATGTAAAATTACTGACTTACTGCTATAAAAAAATATTGCCTTCAATTTCCCAAAAGAACATCCACCGCAACTGCAAGAGGTTCACTGTTATTTTGTGTGCTATGATTTGAAAAGGGTTTTCTTAAGAATCTGTAATTTTATATATTTAGTAAAAGAAATTGTCCTTTCAAATAAAAGTATTTAATTGTTGCTAAAGATTTGACCCCAAAAAAAATATTTAAACTCACCTATCACTGACTTTAATTATAAAAATAAAAAATCTATAACCTTTCTTGTTTTCTGGAATGACAACTAAATAGCACCTTCCAGTCTTATTCTAGTTGTGAAATTCAATTGAGCATGCCCATTTTTCGTTTTCTAGTTTTTCTTTTCCTTTTATAAACAAAGAAGCAATGATTCAAAAGATTCCATTAGCTAGTGTTTGGTTGAAGGTTTATTTTGGGATTAATGAGAAAGTGTAAGTGGATATTGAAAAATACTACGTTTGGTTCAGGTTTTTTCAAGAAATATCAGGCAAATAGAATAGATGGGAAAATGACTTTTGTGTTGATTTTTGGATGAAATTCACTGTTACAAAATACCACTTGAGATGTGAAAAAACAGGTGCAAAGTTTCTTCCGAACATAGATTTTGCATATTTAAATAAATTTCTCTGGTAATATTTGGGTCAACCAAATAACTTTTTTTACATTTTTCTACCAAACTCACTTTCCAACTATTTCCTTATCAATTATATTTCCCTAGTAAAATTTTTTTTCTCCCAAACCAAACACTACCTTGAGAACAGTAATAATGCCAGCGGTGGAATTTACTCTTTAAAATACTCACTTGAGAATCTGAAAAACAATAAATTGATAAAACATTCTTTTCAGGTTCTTCAATA